ACGGTAATGTTATGGGGTTGTGATCTGAAGAACCACAGTTGATGGTTGCAATATCAAATTCTTGTGTAATAATTTTTAACACAGGAATGTCAAGTATTTGTGGCCTCGAGAATGTGGAATGTACGTTGGACTTGTGGGCCCTATCACAAAGGCTCCTTGGTTCTCGGCTATGTTGCATAATAATGTACCATTTCGGCATTGCTGTGTGCTGTTCCATAGAGGAGATTTGCAATTCAAATCTCCCATAATAACCTTGGGTTTATTGTCGTTTATAAGATCAGAGAAGTTTTTTTTTCTTAGCTGCTCTCTTGGATTTCTATCGGCTGTTGTAATGGCAGTCTTGATTCCGTGTATTGTTGCGATTATTGCCAGATTTTCGATTAGGGATTACGCCTTCTTTGTGTTCAATTAAGGAGTGTGTGACGTCTTTCCTTACAAGGAGTGCCACTCCTCCTTGTACAAAAGGGGTTATCATTTCAGTAAGTTTGGTTGTCTTATTGGAAGGGCATCCTGTGGTCATCGACCATTTTGGTTTTCTGCAAAGCCATAAGATGCGGCTGGTGTTTTTTCAGGAATAGCTCCACTTCTGTCCTCCGCGTACGGAGTCCGTTAACGTTCCAAGATGCGACTAGGAACTTATTCATTTAGGTTTTTCAAGGTATTAGTCCACTGCCTGCAGGATGGCTGGGAGATGTCTTCATTAGTTCAAATGTTTCTGTCGCTTCGTCGTTCTGGATTGGATTTTTGTTGGCATTGGTAGTGTTCTTGACATTTATATTTTTGTTCTGCCGGTTTTCACTGCTCGTTGTCCATTGTAGGTATTTCTTGCAGCCACGATAGCTGGCTGGGTGTCTTTTTTCTCCACAGTTAACATGTGTTGCGTTAGTTTCTTCCTGATTTGTCGGCTTTTGGCGGAGTACATTTGTTTTGAGGCGTGGCCTTTTGCGCATTTCACGCAACGTTCTGGCATATTGCAATTAGATTGTGTATGTCCAAATCGCTGACAGCGAAAACATTATGATGGCATGTTGGACTTCCTTTTTGTTTCGAATTTGACAACCATGTCAATCAATCTGGTAGTTTCATCAATTTTTACCGTTGCGGTTTTTACCAAGAATAGGGGAAGTGGCTTCTTTGGTCTCCTAGATGTCATACGTGTCATTTCTAGTTGTTCATAACCTTTTAACTCTAGCCCCTCTCTCATAATTTGTGTGTGTGTTCATCATCGAGTCCCCTCATGACTACATGAACATTTTTGCCTTCCTCTAATTTGTAGGTGTAATACGGTCTGTTTTGCTTGTGCAAAAAAGCCGTGATTCTACGGTGATCCTCTGGGGTACTTACAAAAATCTTAGTATCTCCACCCATTTTCTTCGCTTTTTCAAAAGCAATATTGTTATTTTTTAGTTCCTTCCTGGTGAGGATCCAATTTTAGCTTCCGTGGATAACCACTGGCGGGATTTGTTTAATCTTATCTGCATAGCTGATGACCTCCTCGGTTTCCATATCATTTTGTGATACTTCTTCTTGATCCAGGCGAGGACTATGTTCCTTTCTAGGAGATTTTCTTTTTTGGAAATTGATTTCCGGCCATTCACTATCAGCTGTGATTCGTTTGGTGGTTGCCACCTTACTTTTTCCCTCTTGTTCCTTTTGGTAATTGAGAATTCTTTCACTTAACTCATTCATCTATATTTGAAGTGTTTCTATTTCTTTGTTTGCTTTGCAAATTCCATCTCTTGCTTCAGAGAGCCTTTTCTTTAGCTTGGTGATTTTTGCATCTTTGTCAGCTTCGGCGCCTCTAGCTCTCTTCATGTTGTGGATTCTGGGCATTCTGGGGCATAACCCAGAATCTAAAGTCTTTTTTTCTAACTTTCACTTTTACTTCGGGTTCAATACTACGTAGCATTGGCAAACCCAGAATCTAAAGTCTTTTTTCTAACTTTCACTTTTACTTCGGGTTCAATACTACGTAGTATTTTTCCGTAAAGCGCATTTTTCCACAATTTCATGAGAGCGAACGAACACTTGCTGCATGCGGTGCAGTACACGAAAAACTGAATGACCACTTAACGGTAAGTCATGGTATTTGAATAATATCTCGGGAATCTGTGATTTGGGCACAACTTTTTGTGCTTCTTCTTCGTCCAACTCTGGTACGTACCTAAACAGTACGCCGATATGCATGCAGTACCCTCATTCGGTCCATTCCTTAAAGTCGAGGTTATTTTTGTCCATATTTCCAAAAGTCTGTATTATCTTATTAATATCTGAGTCATCCAACTGTTCACGGCGAATTTCAGCTCCATTTTCTCCTGGCAAATTCACGGTTACCAAGTTTGCTGTCATTTTTTGGTCTGGTGGTCGTGATAGCATATCCGCAATGACATAAGTTCGGCCTGGTGTATAGTTTAATCTGAAGATCAAAAGATTGAAGTGCCAAAGCCCATCTGGCTAAACAGCCTGTTGGCGAATTCCATGTCATCAGCCATCGCAATGGTTGATGATCAGTTTTGACAACAACGATGCACATTCTAGGTAACCACGGAATTTATTGGTTACGGCCTATACAACAGCTAAAGCCTCTCTTTCTGTGGGTCGTTCGTCTGTATCCTCCCCCTGAAGCAGACATGCTCCAAAAGCATAGGAGGAAATGTCAGTCTTCAGAATAAAGGGCTGACTCGAATCAGCTTGGTGAAGGATTGTACTGGAAGTTAGCAATGATTTCACCTTTTCAAATGCTTGATTTTGACTATGGCTCCAGGTCCAAGTAACCAAAAGCATACCTTAATGATAAAATAGCTTCATCAGAACTGTTTATCGATTACTTAATTTCCTGCCACCAGGTAGCAGCAGCATTATGCAGTAGCTTTGAAAGTCCTTTGAGAGCATGCTGGTCTGGTATATTAAGGCAATTTTTGTAAACAGTTATGGCATCGATGAACGCTTCTACATCTTCCTCGATATTTCCACTAAACCTAGATTTGCAAAAAAGGATAGGTATAGTATGACGGCGATATTTCCTAAATGAAACTGAAATGACAGTTTCCAACGGAAAGAACATTAATACAGAATTAAACTGTTGAAACTCCAACCGTATTCCAGATCCTAAATGCTATGTCATCTTTATCTTGGACACACTGTATACTTCTTTACCGGGTAGGGTGTCCGCCGATTATTTTGTGTCCGCTATGGCCTGGGAAGTTATCCAATTTGCGTCCGCTATGGCCTGCTGCGATAAAAAGTATCTGTTTTTGGTTGTAGGACCAGGGCGGACTCCGGTGTCTCCCAAGCCTGTCTTATGGCGCTGAACATGTTTAACATAAAAGATAAAGTAATAATTATTTATCTAATTCAAATTATAATTTTTTAGCAAGCTTCAAACGTTGGATATTCAGTAAAAAAGGCGAGTTTTGATATTTATGCTTTATTTTCTTTTTTGTTATTTGAATTTTCATTTAGTTTTGCACTTTATTAACACCTAAAATTTTTAGGGTAACTAAAAAATCAAATAATGCTTTAGAATAGTACCAGAGTAATTTGCAAATTCTTAGAATAAGTCTGGAAAAAAGTAGTGATAGAAAAAGGTAAGTAACTAATATTGAAAAGAAAACAACTGTAAAAAAATATAAAATCCTCTAATAATAATAATATGATAGGTTGTACATACTTTTAATGTTAATTTAAACATAAAACTACCTACTTAGAATATCTCCCAAGGTATATGGGACTTTATTAACTTTATGAAATTCCATTGTCACTGTAGACAAATTTTTGATGTGTTATTCTAAGAATTCTCTGCAAAAGTTGAAGTTACTTGCCTCTCTCAGCTACCTGATTATAGATGAATAATCAAAACCTAATTACCATTTACCCTACTATTAATTTTTCACACCCTTTTAAGGGTATTACTGGTACCTGATAAATATCAATAATCCAAAGAGTGTCCTCATTTACATCTCAGAAACAGCAGTGTTAGTTTGTCTCAACTTATAATTGTGCGTTTAAAATGTCGGACAACAACCAAGACCAAGCAGCGTTAAAAACCAAGGAAGAATACGAAAAGCAACTAAGACTGAGAATACGAGAGCAAATCAAGAAAGTGGGCCAAAGGATGCTGGTCAAAATACAAGACGAAGTCGAAGACGAAGAGGAATGTTTAAGAAAAAACATATTGTCGGTGAATTTTAAAAACAAAGTGAGCGAACATTTGCATGGATTCCATGTCAATTTGATGAAGAACGGACAGGTGCCTCACAAAGAAATGACTGAACAAGAATTGGGTAGGATTTTGCTTAAAGAAACATTCAAAAAACCTACTTAGGAAGCTGTGGATTTTGAACCATACTTGTGATAGTTTTTGAAACCTTAAATATTTGTAAGATTTTTGTGCCATACATACAGTATTTTTATAATTGTACAAATTAAATGTTTTAGTAAGTACCTTTGTTGTATTTGATTTTATTTGGGCAAATTTTCAGGTCCAAAAAAATAAAATTCCTATGAGTCACAGGCCAAGTTTTCAAATTCACCATTTGCCTATGCGCATTTCTCTTGATGAGTAACCTATCCTTGTTTTGCTGCTGTCAAATGACAGCGGTGAAAATGCGCATATGTCATTGATGAATTTTAAAACTTACCCACATTATCATAAAAAAAGAAATAAATAATTACGTCAGTGTATTTAGGGAAGACGTTGTATAAAGCTAATTGTATAGGTCGACAATTATTTTTTTTTTTACTTAAGGCTGCGGGCTAGTTCGCGATTAGGTAGAGTACAAGCTGTAAAACAACACAATTTTCCCAGCCTTAATGCACACTTAAATAGTAGTAGAAACAAAAACGATTAATCGAATCCATTTAATTGTTTTAAGAGCATTTGTGTGTTCGATGACCAACCTACATATATTTTTTTTGAATGCTACAATTAATTGGAAATTTGTGTCGTCGCGGAAACTGCTTTAGTTTTGCTTGTATTGCTATTTAATCATGTAGATTCTTCGTTTTGTTCGCGGAGATGTATTCTGTGACTTATTCATTCCAGAATAATAATAATAATAATAATAATAATAATCGAGTTGTTATTAAAAACAAACATGGTAAGTTAATACGACTATTTACAAACTTTCAGTAGGTAATTGAGATAATTTTTGTTTATCCTCTCTTCTTTTTGTTTCTCACAGTATTTATTAACTTTTTCGTAGTTCACGATAAGAATCCTTTTTTCTTCTACGCATTAATATTTCTGTCCTGAGTTTTCAGAAGCTTTTTCGTCATAATTTTCAGATCATGTTTACCTGGACAATAACTGGATTAAATTAATTTTGAATTCCTGTCCAAAATCTTTTCTACGACAAATTACTTTGATAGAGTGTAATTTTTGGGACAATTCTCTCAGTCTATCATGGCTGTAACTAATTAATTTTCACGTAAAGCCTAGACGTAAACAAAATCAAATAAACAATCGATTATATAATCAATGCATATTTTTATTAATTATATGTTATTTATATTTGAACCCATTTTCTGTAATTATGTTCATGTAAATAAACCGAACGAGGAGCAGAATCGTTAATTTACGTATCAGTTTATTTTGATTTGTTGCAATGGTGCATTTTTCTTTTTCAGGTACGTTAATATGCATTCTGTATATTTTTTTTGTGTGTTATTATTTTATTTAATTTTTTGGTTGGTTACTCTTTTCAAATATTTTTTCAAAACTTTAATCATTTTAATTGTTTAGGTATAATTTCATTTTTAACAATGCTTCGGACTTCTAAAAGGTATAGTAACCTCATTTTTAACCTTAATTTGTTGGTAATCTTTTACCTACCTACGTTTTTTCTTACCTGAATTTGCTTAACGACTTGGCCTTTTCCATGAATTTAGTAACATAAAATTTAAATTGGTTGTCAGAAACCCATGGTTAAATTGCCAATAAAAAAATTGTTTTTCGTATAAATTGAAAAATATATTGATTCAGTGAATAATTAAAACCATCACAAATCACTGTATTTTCACAAAAGCATTATTTTTCTTATTGACGTACAAAATAGGAAATTTGTTGATCAAATACAATCCATCATCGTCATTCTTCTCCATTATAATTGCATCCTACCTTCCTAAAATATTCTCAGATTTTTTTTGATAGAAATCTTTTTAGTTAAGTTTACTGTTCTGATCATCCCTGTTGTTGTTTTGTATATTGTCCATTCAATCTTCATCTCTTCCATTGTTAAATTCAGTCTAGTTATAGGTTCTTTTTTGGTCTGTTTATTTGTATGTCATTCCTCGTCTTCAGTCTATTTCTCTAGATTCTGTTTCTTGGTATTCAAATTCAATATCGGTGTTTTTGATTGATGTAACTTGTGAATCAAAAATATGTCCTCCGATGTTCATTGAATGTTTGATAACCAGAAAAATTCTTAATCATATAGAGATAATTTTTCTGTTGCCCTCAAAATTGTAATAGAGACACTTGTGACTCTTCAAACTTGACTCAAATCGTTTATTCCAAGCCCTTGGAGCTTGTTTCAGTTCAAACAACGACTTCTATATTGCTTGAAAATTCTGTTTGATTCATATCAAAATCCATCAGGTAATATTGTACATTTATTCATTCAAATAACCTTTTACAATTATTGGAGTTTCAGTGTAATCAGAAACTTTTCTCTGAGGATGAGAATATCCTCTGGCCACCAATCTATACTAGTTCCCGTCCTTATTATAGTTTAACTTGAAAACCCATTTTGTATCAACAGCTTTTTTGTTTTGAGGAAATTCGGTTTTGAACCAGACTTGGTTTTGTCCAAATGAATCAACTTCTTATTGAACAGCTTCCATCCAATAATTTAAGAAAATTTCTGTGGAACATTGACAATAAACGATTGTGTTCCATGAGAGATGTTTTGAAGGCATTTTCTTCCGATTCTTTCTTTTTATTGATTCTTCTCTATCTTCAACTTCTTCAGGTTTTACCTGAGATTCTTGATTGTCCTGTACCGGATAATTGTCTATATTTTGCAACCACAAATATTTCACCTGTTTGAAATGAAGAGATACCCAGAAATGCCAAATGTAAAAGTTACGGAGGGTACAATGATCAGTAATTTGATTTGAAATGTAGAAACTTTTCAATGAAGTTAGTTACAAGTATACAGGGTGTTTCACAAAAGCGTGGCGAAGCAACGGTATACTTTTTCAAATAAAACACCCCGTATATTATTGACTTATTGGATTAGCGTTTCAAAGCTGATTCCAAGTATACTAGAATTTTTGAGTTTATTCCTCGTAGTCCAACCTCTGATTATACCATTTTGAAGAAAAAATATGGATTTTTAACTTGAAGGATTACCCTCATATGAATTTTTCTGGTGATCTCTATACTTCACCCTTTTCAATAAAAATGCAATTAGTCCACCACTTTTTTTTTAATTTTGTCCCGGACTATTAGGAATAAACCTGAAAAACCTAGTATATTTGGAATCAGGTTTGAACTGCTAATCCAGTGCGTCAATATTATACGTTGTATAAAGCTAATTGTATAGGTCGACAATTTCTATTTTCTATTTCTATTTAAAAAAGTTTAATTTTGCTTTGCCACACTTTTGTGACACACTCTGTATTCTTCTAACTAACTTTATAGAAAACTTTCAGATATTACCAACAACTTTCACATTTGATATTTCTGGGTAAAGGGTCATTTAAATATGTCGGGGAAGCTAGCAACACATTGGAAGCAGGATCTTTAGGATGTACATCTGCTGATGCTGCTATATTACTGCTTTGTCCTGCTTCAAACCGCAACCCAGCAACACCCATCGTTTTCGAAATATATCCATTTTTATTTAGGTTGCTTACTTCATCTTTGGCAACACATTGGAAGCAAGATCGCTGAAACAGGTTCCTGCTTGTACTACTATGGTCCTGCCTCATCCTGCTTCAAATCTGACCCCGGCAACACGTATTATATATTATATCCGAGATACAGCGATTTTTATTTTGGATGCAAACTTCACCCTTGGCAACACACTGGAAGCAGGATCGCTCAAACATTTTCCTGCTTATGTTGCTATGCTCCTGCCTCGTCCTGCTTTAAATCTGACCCTGGCCATATATACTATTTTCGAGACACAGGAATTTTCATTATGGTTCGTAACTTCACCCTTGGCTTGGGATCACATTGGAAACAGGATCGCTTAAACATGTTCCTGCTAATGTTGCTATGGTCCTGCCTCATCCTGCTACAAATCACACTCCTATGACAATTACTATTTTCGAGATACAGGCATTTTCAGCATGGTTCGTAACTTCACCCTTGCCTTGGCAACACATTGGAAGCAGAATCGCTCCAAAATGTTCCTGATTGCGTTGCTATGGTCCTGCCTCAAACTGCTTCAATCTCCCAAGCAACACCTAATATTTTTGAGATACACACTGGTAGCATTACAAGACTCTAGTCGTAGGAGTACGACGAGCTCGAAACACCGTTGCCAAATGTATCGTATCGTAATGAGTGCTTGTCTCTGTATGTTGGTATTTCCGACGAAAAGATTTAATCCAAACTAACACAAGCAAACCCGTACTTTTGTAATAAATGCTAATCTTTGTATGTTGGTATTTTGAACGAAAAGAGCTAATCCAAGCGAACCCAAACTAACCAGTCCTCATACTAATTGCAAGTCTTTGTGTGTTGGTATTTTAAGCGAAAAGAGCTATTCTCAAACTAACCCGTCTTTATAATGTATGCTAGTCTTTGTATGATGGTATTTTAAACGAAAATATATTTTCCTACAGCCGTGGGGAAAAATCGATTTTCCGCACTGATATGCGTGCGGAAAATGAGTTTTCCCGCACGGTGCGGTAAAACTTTTTTTTTTGACAAATCAGAGCGGAAAAAGTTTTTCCGCACGGCTGTCAGTGCGGAAAAAATTTTACCGCTCTGATTTGTCAAAAAAAAAAGAAAAATTTTACATTTTTACGCCTGTAGGAAAAATATTGTACCTAACACTTGCGGAAAAATTCATTTTCCGCACTTGTTGGGTAAATAGCTATTATTAAAAAATCAGGTGTGAAGATTTCAAAGTCTATTTATGTAGTAGTGGCGGCTCGTACTAGAATCTAGCCATCACATGTGGAGTAACTACGATTGTACCCGAAAGCCGAGCCGAGCGCATTGTTTTTGGAGGAAGGTGTATATTCAGTTGCAGCAAAAACAACAAAAATAAACTTAAGAGGGGCGTTTAAATGAAATGTCATTTACAGACCTTCACAAATTTCTGTTCAATTTCAAATTTAGACCACTTTTCAGTGAAATGAAGTTATGTTCATAACAATAATAGATTGGAGTATGAGCATTTTTGGTTGCAAAATACGCAGTCTAAATAGTAAAATTATTACCAATTTTGTTGACAACAGTATGCAAATTTTGGTCACGGATTTAAATGAAAAACGCATAAACATATAGAGTAGCACACCAATAATAAATTTCCAGAATTTCGGATAGTAAAATGGTGGAAAAAATGAATAGAACAGAATTTTTGAAAATTATAATGTTTGTATCACAAAATTAATCAAAATCTGTCAAACAACGAGGTGATTGCTGTCATTTTCAGCAAAGACTCAAACCAAACGTGTGTTCAGCGCTGCTCTAAAACATGTCGCTGAGTTCGGGAAGGAAAGTCACTTCTCTTAAACGCCAGTAAAAACTGTTTTACCTAGCTAAAAATGTGAAATACTATTATTTCATTTGTATTTGAATAAAATTATTTAGTCCACTGTAAATTACTGTGTAAACGAATTGATATTGAAGATGTCGCCATCTACTTGTAAATAAGTCAATCACTTACAGAGAATTTGAACACCTGTGATTAAAAAATATTTAATGTATGTCATAAAGCCCAAAAGATGGCGCGCTGGCTCTTATCGGACACCCCTCTTAAAATCAATATTAATTATAAATAAAAGAAAACTCATAGAACATTATCAAAAAATATTGTAATTTGAACATGCCTTGAAATTAAATATTCTATAGTTATTACGTATCCGTGTTCAAATCCGTGGAATTATCAATAGAGTCTAATATTGTCTGCAAAATGCG